CGGGTTTCGTGCTACTTGGCACGAGTCAACAAGGTGTACATGTAATCTTGAGGGAACTGGTGCTCCCTGACAGATTCGATCCCGTGTCACCCAACTTCACAGTCAGAGACGTTACCACTGGGCTATCTGGGCCGCTGCCTACCTCCAGTAGGACTGAGATGTAATCACGATTGATTGATTGATTGATTGATCACTGGGTGGTGATCAATGTCATGTGTGTCAAATCCCTCTTAGTGCAGATCGATTACTATCGACCAAGTTGCAATGTGGCCACTAGTCTAGATGACTCGACATTGAGTGCACTATGTTGAGATAATATGGTGATTGGAGGTAGTCAACGGAAAACGTACGTGTTTTCCCTTGCTTATTATTGCCTTTGTAATGTAATTTGTTTACGGAAATATTTCTTTTAAATTATGATGTATGGGGAAATTATAATCAGCTTCTAAACTTCTGATAAATATTACGAATATCTATTGAGCTACTTAATTAAAAGTTAGTAGTCAGCGTGTATGTATCTGTTTAGTTTTCAATACGAAAGGTTTGGATTAATTCAATAGAAAACTATCCTCCATTAAAATGTTAACAAGAGTTACTTCATGTGATTGATTGAACAATTATAAACATTAGAAATTTCGTAATTCTCAGTACTGAGTTTAAACCTGAGTCATATTTATTACTTTGGAGGTAATAAAACTCTGTTAGTTTGATTTATACAAGCTACAGTCTTTCTCAGAACAGATTACTGTTAATCAATTGGTTGAATACATGATTTGAGAAACTAAACATTAAAGATACCGAACATCTTGTTTAGTAGGTATGTTTTAGCCCACATCAACATTACAAGTTTCTTTTTTCCTAAAACATGACTTCCTTACCGAATTTTATTCTTTTGGGTATCTGGGATTATCTAAAATGTTGGACTACACTACATTTAACTAATATCTATGTATGTATGCATTATAATGTAAGACTGATAAATAAGCCTGTTTTCAGACATAGATTGTAACCTTTATTTTATTAATTCATAACAAATATACATGTCCTGCCAAATGTTGCAAGAATATAGTTATGTTGGCTGAGAAAATAGCAATATTATCAAGGTAACTACGGCAAAAATAAAAGATTCTTGACCAATAAAAGGGCTGAAAATTTCAAGTGCATCTTTATGATCAATGATATGTCGTAGAGATTGGTAGAACATTAAACAGCATTGATTAAATTGATGAATGAAATGACAATCAAGGCATAGTTACAACTAGTTACTAAGGCATAAACATTCCGGACAGACAAGCCCGGATATATATATATAAATTAGTCACAAAACAATCCGTTGAAAGATTTCTCTATATTTATACATATACATTTCAAATTCTATCTTAACATATTACTAGTGTAAAAGAGAAACAATGTAATTCAATGACTAATTTAACATCAATTCAGTAACTTAGATGAATCTAGCTACTTGATAATATACCCGTATTGCATAATACATTATGATAGATGATGTGTGGTTGAGAATGATAATGATTGGTTGTCTGCTTAGTCAGATATACAGATAGTCCGACAGGTTTTAGGTGGATTGTGTCAGATAATTGTCGGTTTCCGGTGTGGAAATATATATTAACATTTTAGTCAGGCTAATCACATGTTCGTGATCATTTGATTTGTGTTGAATTCCTGTAGAATAGACAATGGGAGGGAATTTAATGTAGATATTCGTTTACGGTAAATTAACATGCCATACATATAGATGAAGTAAAACCAAGAATTATAACAATAGATAAGAATAAAATAACCTTTATTATTAAAAACCAAAATAGTTTACAATTATGTTACTTTTAAAATATTAAATTCCATTCTCATTAACTTTGCTTCACAGTCAGTCAACTACAACGTAGGACTAGGCACATATAAGCATCGGTTCAAGTTGACATATCTCATTAGCACAACAAGATGAACACCAGATCTATAGATTATACTCATTGTTTTGCTTTTTTTGTTGCTATAATTCAACAGACAAAATTTCTCTATTTTAATTAAGTTGTAAAATGAATACACGTAATCAATAATCAAATGTTTAATAATAAACCGTGATCAGTGAAGTTATCCCGTGTCGGGTAGAGACAAGTATCTACCTCAGTATAGTGGAAGATGGTGGTGCAATTAAGTGGGTTGGTTGATGTTAGACATTAACACCGTTGGATGCTGGCTCATTGGTAAAGTAGGTTAATCGTTCATGCGCGGGACTGAGGGCCACAGGTTCGAATCCCGCGAGCTGGGTCGTGTGTGCACACTGCTGAGGAGTCCCACAACAGGACGGAACGGCCGTCCAGTGGTTCTAGGCTTTCAATGGTGGTCTAACACCAATCGGTTCAAGATCTCAATTAATAATAAGTGTTAACTACTATCTTCAATTTACAAGTTGCATTAACTAAGGGTGGATGGCCTAACTAAGATGTGGTACCAATCGCTGAAGTTGTTTAATGTTGGCCTGAACAGTGTAGGAGTCTGTGTAGTTGATTGTGACCAGCAGTTCAAAAAGGGGTTCGGAATCTGTCTCAATGATGTTCGATCTTTGTACTCCCCTATTTATTGAGTCTTATAGTTATCTTATACTTTTGATTCCTTCTCGAATCATACTATTTATTAACTATATTTCCTACATTGATTATGACTGAGTGGATAGAGTCAAAATCACTAGTTGGTTGGTGTTAGGCAGTCGACAAGTAGCTCTGGTCCCAGGTTAAGTTTATTATATCAAGCAACTGGCTTTAAAAGGTAGTCAATCCTATCCGACACTAAGATTAGGAAATATTGGGTTTGGATTGCAAAATGGTCGAATATTTTCACAGGATAGACATTTAATTAGCTTATTATTAACATTTTAGAAAAACTAATTAGTGATAGACCGGGAATTCCTAGATACATCGTGTGCTGTCTCAAACCCAAATGGTAAGTGAGAGGTGAAAACGAGATGTACTATTGGAGTAGGTGAGTTGAGTATATGGCCATGGTCCTAGTCTACACATCAATGTCCGAGTCAGTAAGGATTAAAACAATTTATACGTCAGTTGTTAAGTTTTGGCAATTAAACCTTTCTACTCCTTTCCGTTTTTTTATTTCCGCAGTGAATCTGATAAGTCATTTGTAAAGTATTATTGTAACTAGATCGGACTGTAGACCAAGATCGTTACACAAAACGAGTATATATCACAATCAAAACAAAGTATTTCAAGATTTCAGGCACTTGTTGTTGAAGGTTAATAAACGGAAATTTCCTCATCCATTTGTAAAGGTTTGAATCCTTTGTAGTTAATGTTATGGACCACAATTAGTCCATACCTTCTGAGATGACTCACTCGATATTGACTACGTAAATAACGCCTAGAGAGTTTGAAGCGGAAGCCACTGGGCTTGAGTCCCAATGTAAACATCAACACTGGGATAGAAGTTCATATGACGAATAACAGATAGGGCGAACCTTGTGTCTTGGATCCCACTACTAGTCACTAACCTTGTATAAGAAATGAGATTTATCTAAAGTAAATAAGCCTCTAAACATTTAGAGGAGAACTGAATAGAAAATTGCGTTAAAATATCTTATTGAGGAATTTCATCTTAATTTCTGGTAGACAGAATTCTTGATTCAATCCATAGACGTTAAAACAAGGTGATACATTTTACAAGAACTGAATGCATTACGTCTGTTTTAATTGCATTTAGAGAACAGACAATTTTCTTGAAATTTTGAGTTAGTTTACAGAAATGTTTTATAAAGATATTTCTATTCCACTAGGAAAAGAAGACTGATATTCTTTGATTGAAGGTAGACCCAATACTAACTAGCGCCTAACAAGAAGACGGAACACAAGACCACTGACCACCAGTCTAAGATCGTTATTACATTTCATACAGATGTACCTTATGTACAAGCAGATCAGACTGCATCACACCATGAAATAGAGAATGATTGTTGTTTCGCGTTCTTTTTTTCTGGTTTTATATGATTACATGTAAATTCTAACTGGACTGGAATTGGCCTATTTCATACCGTTTATTTCTCCTCTTTGGAAACATGATGTATCAGTCTTCCTATTACGGAAACACCGGTTCCTATACGTTGTAGCATATAACAACTGATAGCCAGAAAATCAATCACAAATCTTAGTTTCGTCAGACCACAGCATCTTCATTAGTTCTAATTCAACAATCCCACCTCTTCCCCACAAATTTAGGGTGTTTTATGATCTTACAACCCACTACATGTCTAAACACAGTAACAATGGCCCCCAGTTAGTGCTGAACAAAAGCATGTTATGAAAAACCGAACTGTAACACTGGAGAAGAAACTGTTTAGTCTATCTTCCTTGGCGTAAACGTAACATCTATCATTTCAAAACGCTCGTGATATTGTAGTTATGGTACTTACTCAGCTTATTTATGCTCTTCATATATTATCTATTTAGAACAACACTGTGTTTACAATGCTTATGGCTTTCAAGGTATGTATTCAGAAAATAATGATGAACTCTAAAATGCCATCTCTGATTATGCATTTCGCTTGCACCTCACAGTATTAATATATTTATGACATATTTACTGCCAAAACAATTTACCAATCACATTTCACATAATCTACCCTCGTTTTTTAAATGTTATTATTATTTTCAAAATATATTACTACTATGTCTTACTGCCTTGATTTTGGCAAATATCTTCAACCAAATGCAGATTTACAAAATTGTATATTGTCCTTATCTACTCTCCAAATAGTCATGATTAATAACTCGGTGATAAGATTGCCAAATGGTTGGTCTAATACAACTAGTGTCAGTGAAGCTAATATACACCTATATGTACATAGAATACAAAATGTAGCAATCTTGTCATTATAATTTCAAATGGCAATTTTCAATGTATAAGAGTAAATGATATTGTCTACTATTTTAGACTAGGTAAATTTGAAGAAATAACCTTACTGGTTGATAATTTAAGCAGTAAATTTATATTAAGATTAATCTTTATTGAAAAAGAAAATGCCAGTCACAGTAAATTTAACTTCACTTACAGTAGATCAAGCAAACCGAAATAACGAAAAAAAGTTTTTTTTTACATGAGTCTATTGTCAAAATGCAACAAAATGTTCTTAGTGTACATTAATTAAGAAAACAGCATTTCACTGGTAATAAACAAGACGTAAATTATTTGTCAGGAAATTAAAATAAAATTTGAATACATATAAACTAGTAAATGAAGTCATAAACTGAAGATACAAACCGGAAATCAAATAAATTATTTACATTTACCTAAAACCTGGTAGGAAAAGTAGGCAAATTGAAAAGCAGTATTTATTATAAGCTGGAATGTCTTCGAAAAAAAGAACTTATTATCACATAGAAAAGATTACTTCTTCTCATTCTCAATAATATGTAAACCCTCACTTAGAACAGATGACCATGAACTATCGTCAATTTTTATGAGAATAATTTCCACAGCATCTTCACGTACAATCAATTGTGACCGTTTATTATCTAGTGTGCCCGGTAATTTGTTAACATGAAGTCGATAATTACAGTCTTTTAAAGTATCAAGCCCATGAAATTCAAACAGAAAACCATCATTACTTAGATGAAATACTATTTCACCATTTGATGCTTTTTTGTAAAGTTTGGGAATAAGTTTTTTATGAAATTCTAATATAGTTGATGATTTTAAGCCATGAATTTGTATAGTAATACGTAATTTGTTTGTTGCTAGACTTGTATCTAATGCGTAATTTGGTACTACTGAATTATCATCACGACTTGAATATGCCATAATTTGAATAGATCTAAAAGTAAACCGGTGAGATAAGAACAAAAAAGGTGATTACTAACGAGGTTGATCAATGTAATCATGAAACATTCACTTTCGGATACTATTGATACAATGGCGCTGGACACGCCAGAATTTTGAAAACGTCATAGATCCTGTGTCACCATGAAAAATTCTAATGAGTGAACGTGTTGTTGAACGCATTAGAATGTTTACCCAGAACAAATAAAGTATGATTTAAAAATGAATGAAATAAAATTCCACCTGCTAATAGATGATGTATGTTCGGAATAATAATATTGAATGCAGTGTAAGTTATTTTTGATGATCGAGAAATTTCATTTAGTCCGTTTCTTAGCATAAACGTACTCCTAACCACGGATGTGTATAGGTTTAAGTTGCCACACATCACATCAGACCAGTTGTAACGGAAGCTGATAAGATGAGTAAAAGAACTGAACCTCCTTGGACGAGTATCAAAAATTAGAAGATACAGCACTAAGAGATGAAATGAAACCGAAGAATGACGAATGACTAATCAAAATTGACTCAAGATCCATATCATAAGGAATGCCAAAGCACCATTGCGACTGATCTTGCGGTATATCATATAACGCCTTCAACTGTGGATCCTGAATAACACATGGGCACAACAGCACGATTCACACAGCTAGTCAGTGACTATATGAATTCATGACAAGTTTCTATCTGCTTGCCCTGGTTTTAAACCTACTACAACAAACACTAAAACTAGGGATGAACGGGTACTTTAAGTGGACTCCAGGATATGCCAATCGATAAGAATTTTAGGAAAGTCGTTTAGATCCATCTTGAAATATTAACGTAAAAATGTAATACAGAGAAAGTGGCCACAAAAGACATTTTGTTTAATCGAAGGTTTCACCGACAAAAGACTCATATTCAAGAGCGACGGAGCATTATAATGCTCTGCAAATGTCATAACATTTCCAAGCTCATAATAGGATGTCTTGAAAGTAGTGATAAGAATCCAAGTGATTATGAATGGAATAAAAGAAGTGGTGAGACTAAATTTATGGAAGACTTTAAAGCGATATTAAGGTGGACTAGAAAGACTTCAACCAATTACTAGGACCAGGAAAAGTTTTAAAATAAATGTGAGGAATTACAACTAGCTGTTTGCTTAAAGCCAACGATTCAAGTCAGGTTTTCTACCACGAACCGACATCAGCTATAATGCCAAAGTGCTATCTATTCAGATGGATTGAGGTTGTGCGAATAATTAAGTAGTTTTAACTTTAACCTCATTAGTCCCTTCATAATCCATAGTCCCACTGTATAAGAGGCAAAAAAGAAATATCAGTCAAGAAGAATGACGTACTATCTTGAATCATCGGAATGTACCCAATCTCCCTATTTTGGGGTTTTCCCCAAAGCTTGAGGAAATCAACAACGTTTTGGGGATGTAATGCCAAAACTTGCTAAACATCACAACTTAATCAACCTTTAGACACTAAAGCACTTTATACTTAGAGTTAATTGCAGACTAAAAGCAATTTTAAACCAAATTTACGGTATCTCCTCACTGTAACGCCTAACTATATACAATTTGCGTCCCCCAAGGTTAGTCAATTTCAAAATTCAATAACGAACATTATTGTGACGAACCTGTATGAAACGGTCAGTTCCTTTGCGTTCGCTCTTTTGTGTTTCACTACGATTAAACGTCTTCATTAATGCTCAGTTAGAGGTGTTCAGTCACTCAACTCGAATATTTCTAGTCATTTTAGTCGATATTTATGTGTTTGGGTATTATGTTTGTTCCACAACAGTATGGTTCCTGGCACTATCAGCTACCGCATTACCACGCATTGTTTGATTGGCTATAGTTTGAAAAGGAAAAAAGAAAAAATCTGAGTGTAGGAGAGCTAGGCGAAAGTGATCGTTTAAAGAGACAAATAAGTAAATCAATTAATTATGCCAAAGATTTGAGAAACCCGAAGTGTAACCATAGGTAGACGGAGTTGAGGGTTAAAGAGATAAGACTAAAGTGATGATATCTGATTATGATAAAAGCAAATAAATCACAAGATATTCATTAGGGACCGCTTTTCTAAACAGGAGATGAAATTCCGTGAGCAATCATTATCAAATATCCTCGTGAAGCAATAGCCTTAGGTTGCTGTAATCCTTTCTGCCAGGACAGCATGCTAAGTTATCGGAGCTGTCATCAAAATAGGTGGAAGTATACCCGGAGACTGTACTGTGTGATATCCGATAATTTTGGGATCGACTGGTCGACCGTGTTGGTGAGGTTTTGGTAGGATATATGTGTTGGGGTGGCTTGGCTTGCTTAGTATGTTGTATGCCGTCGTCAGTTTACGTCTTATCCTCTTACAACTCAGAAAGGATAACCACGAGCATTGAAGCCTATCTTCATAAGATTTCTTTCTCACCACTACCATGAATTTTCCTATTCTTTAGTATAGTCGGTCTATGAAAATTATCACTGATTTGCATCTCAGGATCAGCTGAGCATCAGCTGAGTTGCATAAGACATTGCTCAGGTATGGAAAGGTGAAATACCTCCTCTGGTACTTTGATGATCTGGAGACAGAAAATATTATTTTTGATCAATCGAAGTTATTAAGACAAAGCACATCAAATTATTCCAGTGGCATCGAACATAAGAAGAATATTTGATTATATTGAAAAACGTAAGTCAATTTCTCAGTCTAAAAATGCTACAGATACTTTTTTAAGTCCGTAGAAATGAACTTAATGAGATTTCAAAGCTGCTTAGGAATTATTTCTAAGCTGAACGATCGTAGAGACCCCTAGGAAAGTTTTCATAGTTGGAGTAACTTGAATAAGCTTGTGAACGGACACATGGTCCTCAATTAGCTATTGATCACCAACGTAGATGATCTGTGTCGAATAACTGAGGACCTAGTCGAGTTGGATGGGAAGGGCTTGACCAACCAGCTGACTTCAAAATCACATCTCATGATTAGCCCCTGACGTGGATTACCATTCCGTCGTACCCAGGTTCCCAGCTCAACTGGATCCATCGGAGATCGAGGCGGCTCACATAGACCTTCCTATAGATGTCACTCCACCGACGATCAAAGAAATCAGGACGGACATCAGACAAATGAAGTGTGGGGAAGCAGCAGGACCTGACAATATACCGGCCAAAGCACTAAAGTCAGGCATAGACGCCAAAATTCAATACGAATAGACAGGATTCCGTAAGGATCGGTTGTGTACAAAACAAATCGCGACGTTACGTATCATTGTTGAACAATCAGCTGAGTGGAACTCATCACTAAATATCAAATTCATTGATTATGAGGCGTTTGACACTGTGGATAAAAGAACAATATGGAAATTTCTTCGGCACCATGGTGTACTTGTTATGACCGTCAATGTCATATGGAATTTACACAATAAACAACACCGCAAAGTTGCACAAGGAGGACAGGTGACAGATGGATTTTAGGTGAGGATCAGTGTCAGACGAGGATGTTTGCTCTTCCCCTTTCTCTTTCTTCTGGTGTTTGACTGCATTATGAAACCTCCATATCTGAGAGGAATCACGGAACGCAACGGACAGTTTGGATTCAACTAGACGATTTGGACTTCGCGGATCACCTAGCCCTTCTATCCCATACACACGAACAAATGCAAATGAAGACAACTAGTGTAACAGCAGTCTCTGCATCAGTAGTCATTGACACACAAAAGGGAAAAACAAACATCCTCAAATGTAGAACACCAACCCAATCACACTTTATGAGGAAACAATGGAAGACGTGGAAACGTTCATGTACCTGAGTAGCACCATCGGCAAACAGGGAGGATAGGACGCAGACGTATAGGCGACGATTGACAAAGCAGGGACAGCATTCCTACAGTTGAAGATCATGCGGAACTCAAAGCAACTGTCAACCAACATCAAAGTTAGAATCTTCAACACAAGCATCAAGACAATTCTGCTGTACGGAAATGAAACTTGAAGAACTACCACAATGACCATCCAAAAAGTACAGGTATTTACGAACAATTGTCTACTCAAGATACCCGATGTCCGTTGACCGAATACCATCTGCAACAGTCTAATGTGGGAAAGAACAAGCCAGCGGGAAAAGAAAAGACGTTGGAAGTGGATAAAAAACACATTGAGAAAATCACCAAACTACATCACAAGACAAGCACTTACTTGGAATCCTTGAAGGAAACGGAATAAAGGAAGGTCAAAGATTCCACTAAGCCGAGAATTGGAGGTGGAAATGAAAATGATGAAAAGCAACTGAAAACGACTGGAAAGGATTGTTCAGGACAGAAATGGATGGACAATACTGATGGGCAATCTGTGCTTCACTACGAGGGGTGACAGGCGTAATTAAGTTGATTCAGAGGTAGTATTTGAAGATTTTAAGGCTGATGAGCTGGTTATATGAATTCGGAGGAGATTTTTTCGCAGTCCATAATGTACTACTTGACTCAGTCTGTTCAGCTAGTAGTGTCAATTGAGAATAATACAGCCGTTGTCAATATTGAATCACTGTTTAATTTAGGAAGGGCTTTACAATCATGCATACTTTATTATGCCTTAGAAATCTCTCACTTTTTAGTTTAAAGGGAAACATTTCAAGAAACTTTTCCATCAGTACCCAGAATGTTTGACACTCATAGTTCACAAGCCAATTCTCGGTTTGGATACTTTAATTACCTTGTTTATCATAAAAACTCATTGTGATCAGAAAAACAATAAATATGTTTTTAATAAAACAGCAATATCAGCAATCACTTCGAAGTAACTGCCAGTAAATAACCATTGACTCGACCTAAATATTTCACAATCGTCATTGGAATGCGTCTTTAATGATAAACATTTAAGTTGAGTATTTACATAGTCGGATTATGAACGACTGCAAAAAGGAAATTATGTCATGTACAACGAATATATTTAGTTTATTTCTGATTATCGATGTAATAACGAAGACTGGTAAATGTTACTCTTCATCCTCTCAGTTAGTCAACTGGCGTGTTCTATTTATCAAAACAAATACAACAGGAGTGATCATTTGAATGAGAAGTACATTGAATTCCCACAAGTATTTTGACTTTTCCAATGTGAATTTTAAAAATCCTATGTGAGAAAGAATTGAGAAATCTACACTTATAAACGTAGGTTTCACAATACCACTAGCTTCTGGATACGTTTCACTGTTCATCGATTCTATTCCGAAATTATCGGCGATACTCAGCTTTTTCACCCTTTAAAAAGTCAGTCCATCAATGATTTACTGTGGGTAATTCACGACAACTTGCAACAGCCAGTCAATGTTATAAACTATCACGTTCGGGATTCTTCGTAAATCTCTTGCATTACCCCTTATTTCTGAACTATTCCTCATCAAATGTCACCAACAGACCATCAATTCACAGAAGCGATAATGTTTCAAGTGTGAAGGGATGTGCACGCGGAAGTATATATGACCATAAGATCAGACGTGTTTTGGTATTTGACAGAGTTGGTTTGGACAACAAAAAACTTTGGTACGGATTTAAATCACAATAACAAAATATTACCGTACATAAATTCATACTTTTTATTTCGATATAAAAAACGTCACCTCATATTTATGTTCAAACACAAATTTTCGTTACTCAATAGCGCGAATCCCCACTGAGTTATTTAGCTTAAAGTAGACATGAAAGATTAAGCTACTGAATTACCAAATAAGGTTGACTTTAGGAGATTGATTGTTTTACTTTTTTGTTTAAATTCAGGTTGTGTTTTTGTGATAACGTTGTCTGAAACTTAATTTACTTTTTATTCTGGACTAAACCATGTGGATGTTGACTTTAGCAAAATGTGGGTATGACTGTTTGATGCTAACAAAACTAACAAGGATGGTTAAATCCAGCTAAGTAAATAAAGATGCCACATGTACTCGGAGTTTAACAACGCCTTAACCAGTAGCACCTTTTATAATCGAAATATGCCAACTCAGTCATATCAAAATTCAGAAACAAAGAGGTTCAAAGATATGTTTGATAAGCTATCGATATATTGTAAAGGGATTAATCTAGACTGACTAGAAATTGTAAGAGATGTGTAGCAGGTCGTACTCACTCGTGATCTGGTGCAGATACGTGACCGAGCACCTTCAGCTAGGTGAGTTCAGTAAAACTAATTTGGTCAGATTCAAATGTCAAAGGCTTACGAAGCTATTGGTTTTGGGGATTTATCTACCTCTACGTGAATATCATAGTTATATAATATACCCTTGTAGGCCAAGGTAATTTTACATCGGCTTTCAGGAGAACCAGACACCATCCAGACTTTCACGTGACAACCCAAACAGTACAGCTTAATCCCGTTTAACAGGAGAGCCAGACACCACCCAGGTTTAAATTTTATAACCCAAGAAATACAGTTCAGCCCCGCTTCACAGGAGAACCAGACACCATATAGGCTTTAACGTTACGATCTGAATAGTACAGCTCAATCCTGTGGCGCAACAACACAGCTACCAAGCACCCCGGTTGACCATTCATATACACGTTTACATCACATGTACAGTTATTCTGATCAATGATAGCGCGAATCAATTAT